CATAAAATTGATACATGTTATTGTAAGATCCCACATTGGTTGCGAGGGGAACAAAAGTTACCTTATAAGGGGCTTGATACCTCATCTATTATATGCGTTTTAAACCCACGAGTTCAGATCTGTGAACAAAACGAACAATATTTGATACGGTTAGTCTGAGATGTTACGGTCATATTTATTATATCTAAATAATCAGTTATTATTAAACGGCCCTGTAGTTTTTTCTATGATGTTTTATTGACCATTTAAATTATTTTGACGATTCGTGCTTGGTTTTTTGTCGCATTGAATTTAAAATCTTCTAGAGTATAAAAAACGAGAACTTGTAAAGTGTTGAATATTGACTTATTTTGTTGTGTGACAGATCAACGATTGATCGAATATTATCAGCATTTTTCTCTTGTATTAACGATATGGGCATGTCAAACAGCTGTGTAACATATCGACCTGCGTAAAATCTGTTATGTTTTTCTGTATTTTTTTTGTTATTATAAATAATTAATGTATTAAATATAATACTGGTATATTATTAAAATAATAACTTATTTCATTTTGTATAAAACGATTCATGATGTATGCATCCGGGAAATTTACCTCGTAGCAGTATGGATAACGAGGATGAAGATGTCGTATAATGGATTAGAAAAGTACAAGCGTAATGTGATATAATACATTTTTATATTCGTTTATCTTGATCTTATTTAGAATTTTATGTGATTTTGAGAGAGTAAATCAGTATTTTGTTGGTTATTAGTTTTATGATGTATTTTATCATATCAGTAGAGTTTAACTTTTATCTTGTATTTGAATGTATTTATCAGTTGATTGTAAATTAATTTTGTGAAGTCCAACAAGTAGGGACGGACCCGGATTTTTTTTTTCAAACGGTGACACCATTTGGCTATAATAAACAAATATAGGGAAAAAAAATAATGGTGACACCCTTTGACTATAATAAACAAATGTAGGGGAAAAAATTCAAACTGTGGCACCATCTGACTAAGAAAATGACACTAACATGATTCAAACTCAGGTTTGGGGTGGAATAAAAGCCTTGCAAACCAACTCTACCAAAGAAAACTTGTTCACGTTGTAGTTTTAAAATACATATGGTGGCACACAACAATTTAATATGACACGAATCTAAATTTTTTTACCCTGCGACGGAAAAATAATATTAGAAGGGTACTCGCGCAATGCAGTGAGATATATCTCGATTTCAGTGTTTCATTTCATTTTTTTTATGTAATTTTTTTAATTCAATTTTTTATTATAATTTAATTTAAGTTTAATAACGAAGTAATTTATTTTTAATTTAATAATATAATTTTTATGAAGATAATAACTAAGTATTCTGTTAGAATCTATAATTATTCTAATTATATTTTAGATTTTATATTTAAAACAAGAATTTTATTATGTATTTGATTATATTTATCTACAGTTAGTTGCATGAATTCAAACATGGAGCTTAATAAGTTGTATATTCGCATAATTTACTTGTATTCTTAAATTTTAAGTAATATGCATCAATAAACAGTACTTCATATATAAAAGATGGTTTTAAAAACTTCTATCAAATGCTTTATAATATAGTATAGATTAATGATATATACAAAGATATGATCGAAAGGAATTTTGTTTATTTATTCATTATTAAATATGACAATTAATTATTATTATTTAATTATTTTGACCATTTTATATTTGGTTTACTAAAAACAAATTAGGAACATGGAAATTATTATGTGCCTTTGTATCGAGGGAACAAGCATTGTCCATTTCGTAATTTCCATACCCTTACATCAGGGGAATTTAACACTCTATTACGTGATTATAATTTAACCCTATATTACACGATATATATATATATATATATATATATATATATATACATACACACACATTAGAAGGGTACTCGTGTAATACATCGAGTCACATCTTGTTTTCAGTGTTTCGTTTTATTCTTTTTTTATGTCGATATAATACGGTTTTATTTGATTTTGAGAAMGCGATAATGTTTTTATTTTTGAATAAAATATAAATTTTAAAATATTATAAAATTTAATATATATATATATATATATATATATATATAGTATCAAATTAACCTTTTTAAAAATTCTAGTTTTTGGTGTAATTTTTTTAATTCAAATTTAATTTAGGTTTAGTAACGAAGTAATTTAATTTAGTTTTAATAATATAATTTTTTATAAAGATAATAACTAAGTATTCTGTTAGAACTCAATGATTATCTTAATTATATTTTAGATTGTTTGTATTTAAAATAATATGTTTATCCAATATTTAATTATGTTTATCCGTAGTTAGTTACACGAATTCAAATATGTAGTTTTAATATTCACTTATAAACTTAAATTTTAAGTAATATGCATCACCAAACAGTACTTCGTGCATAAAAGATGGTTTTTAAGAGTTTTTGTCAAATGCTTTATAATATAGTATAAATATATATATATAGATTTGGAATTATATAATAGTAACCTGTTTTTATGAGACCATCTTTTTACACTTGAAACTTTACAGTAAAACACTGTGAAGATAACATTCGTCGTGTAATAGTAACATGTCATTATGTCCACTCTAAGCCTTCAATTTGATCGATTTAAAGTGCAAAATGTCGATAAAATGAACAACTCGGTTTGGTAACTTCAGAAACTACGCCAACAAGTTTACCAGGACCGATCAAACCATCCAAACTGAACGTAAACGATTTGGTTCAACCGGTTTACGAATTAAATTAAATAAAAAAATAAAAGAAATTAACAAAAATATGTAGGTCCCATATTTTTTCTAAAGAAAGTTTTACGTGTAGGAGAGCTAATTTGTTTGTGAGGAAATTTTCCATTTTTCATTTTTTTTTAAATTTATTTATTTATTTATTTTTATTGTCATTGACGTCTACGTTGGACGTTTCTTCTGAACAAACGTCAAAATTCAAGAATCAAACGATGTTCTATTGACTGTTATTTCTTTATAACGACCCAGTCATACATATAGATATCATCATCTTAAAAACTGTCAACCAAAATAATCAACGTATTTCAGTATTTGAAAAGTAAAATATGATTGGATATTTATTCACGACTTAGGAGCCGTTTACTGAACACTTACGCGGTAAGCACTTACCGATAAAATTCAATACCATTATTTACTTACTAGGTAAGATTTTAGTCAACAAATCGGCTTTCTATACAACAATTTTTCCGGTAAAAGCTGACCGTGGTAAGAGTTATTGCTCTCACTTATCGGGTAAGACTCTCGGTTTTTGCCTCGTTCTTACTGAGTAATTTTTTTCGTCCTTACCATATTCATCCGATAAGATAATATTACTTGATAAACACTTATCCAAATAAGCATTTGGTAAACGACTCCTTATTATTTTTTTTTAGGGAATCTTAGATTGTTTTCCTTTTTCTAGTGTATTCAAGATTTCCATTAGCATGGGAGAATAAAATTGACAAAAGTTGATTTTTTTTCCATTTTTTATTATTATATTCAATAATAAATTATTATATAACGAAATTATCATTTTCTCTGTTGATATTTTACTATTATTTTCATCAACTGTATTTGGTTTACTAAAAAAGTTGGAATGCAGAAATTACGACGTGTCTGAGTATCGGTGGACCCAGCAGAGTCCTTTTCGAACATGAAGTTTAACCCCATATTACACTCTACACAAATATTTCTATATAAAGCGTTAAGCAAAGCTGTTGTTCTTCACCATCGTTTATAACAACTCAGTATCTCTCTCTTTTCACTGTCACGATGTTCAGCGTGTTGAGCTCGAGCTTCAAAAGGCTTAAACTTAGGCATAATAGCACCAAAGGTCCGAGATTCATAGCTAGAGACGATTTAGACGCGAAACACAAAACGGGTTTCGCTAAAGGGGTCGTAGAGCCCGTTTATTCAGATAGGAAGCAGGTACAAGCATACGGCAACGGTAAAAGAGGTGTAAAGAGGGTTAAAGTGTTGTTGACAAAGGAAGAGGCAATGAGATTACTCTCGAAATCTAACTGTAGAGGAGTTTTCGATTTCGAGGATGTGGTCACGGAGCTTGAGCAAATCGATACAACTCGTGTTTCTCTTGTTTGTCTGGATAGTTATAACGGCAAAACCGTGCTTGAAAGCATACCCGAAGAACTCTAAGCAATATCTTTTGGAATCTGTTATTATATCTTACAATTTTTACTGTATAAATTTACAGATGTATTCATATTTTTCAGTTACAGTAGTAACTGATGATTAAACCTTTCGTTAGATTTGAAACTTACACTATAGTATTTTTTTTCATAGAATGGAGCCAACGTTAGTGAGCGAAAAAAACCTCTCTCTCCATTTCCTTTGTAAAAAACGACTCGAGAACACAACTTAGTGAGCAAAAAAAAGAGTCCGAATCTTTTTAGGGCCGGAACGGGTTAGACTTTAGGGTTGAAAAAGTAACTGATAAGATATTTTCCAGGCTTAACTGATTGTTTGTTTACCTCTTAATAGTTCCATTAAGAGTCAACATCTGAACCGTTAAGAGGTGAATCTTGTTTGGCAAAAAAAAAAAAATTTGCTTCTTAATGGTTCTAAAACCCTCTGAATGATTTTGTATCTTGTATCTCCCTTAACCATTAAGAGCTCTAATTTCATTGTACACAATTATCAAACAATTATATTTCATTTTGCACTATATCATGAAGGCCTCTTAATCATTTTGATCATTTAATCATTCTACACCAAATCATTCAGCAATTATCAAACAACCCCTACGTTTATTCAGGCTTTTCCAAGTTGAAGCTCGTACTCGGCCTGTCCAAAAAAATTCGACATGATCGAGCTTTTGAGACATGACCTCGGCCAAGCTTCGACTCCTAAACCCGGGTTTTTTCGGGCCGGTTTCGGGCCAGAATTGTAGTGGGCTTAGGGCCTGGGCGATTTTGTGCAATCTCTAGTTTCAACTTTCAAGGGAAAAATCCAAAATTACAGAGAGTAAAACTTGGACATGGAGTTCAGAATGGGGGAAGAAAACGAGTCCATACTCAAATGCCATTGATTCATTCTCATAGAATTATAGCAACATAGAAAGACAACGAAGCTCTTCCTCGACTATCTCTTACATGTCTGGTATGGAATCCTTGGTTCATTTGTATGTTTGAACTCAATGTTGTTAGTTTAGTTGCTAAATATAGAATCCAGATTTCCTCTTAGGTTTAGAGCTGTTCTTGTGCTTGATTTATGAGTATGATTAAGCCTCACATTAGATTTAGCGTTCTAATTTGACGTTATCACATTTGATTTGTTGTTTTTTGCTGCTTACATTAGGTTTTTAACGATCCGAACTCCAATTTAGTTTCTGGAGTTTTTGATTCGTGTTATGCTGTCATTTGATGTTTAGATCTTCTTGGATGAAATTGGAACCTTGTTTTGTAGCATGTTTATACATCATAACGTCTGTGTTCGTATTTGATCGTATTTCTTCACATTTTAATACTCTCCCAATGCTACGATTATGAAAAATCGACCTAGTACTTTCTGAATTCATTGTTAACACAGTAAGTTTCCGGCCAACCGTGCCAGATATTGCCGATCCACTACACCTTGACTCATGGTCTTAAAACACGTCTTATAGAGTAGATATCCGGTCAGTTTCCAGCTCGGATGCTATTGCCAACAACACTAGACATTGTCCACTTTATCCGCACTGGATTCACTGTTTTAAAATGTGTTATAGATGAGGTAACTAGTACCTTTTTTGTTCCCCTCCCCAACCAATGCTGAATCTCACAATATCATATGCGTTTTAAAACCGAGTCCAAGTATGGACAAAGCAGACAATATGTGGTACGGTTGACCTGGGATGTTATAAAATGGTATTGGAGTCGGGAACGGACTCGTGCACCAGCAAAGACGTTGGGCTCCCTAATGAGGGCGGATTGTGAGATCTAACATTGGTTGAGGAGGGGAACAAAAATTGTCTTATAAGGGGCTGGATACCTTCTCTATCAAACTTGGTTTAAAACCGTGAGTCTAGATGCGGATAAAGCGGAAAATATTTGGTACGTTTAGCCGGGAACAAGCACTTGTAATTCCAAGACATTCATTATAATATTTCTGTAGTTCAATGCAGCCATGAAAAATTATTTTTGCTTGAAGGAAATTAACTTTCACAATCCATTACTGAAAAAGTAACTAATTGGAAAACCAGATATGATTTTTTTAGAACTGAGGAAGTGTGTTGATAGGATGCTATGTACATTAGTTTCTACTTATATTACATGTTTTACTCGATTACATTGTCTGCTTGTACACCATTAAATCGTGCATACAACATTGAATCATCATTCTACCCGTTGTATTCCGTGATTGCCTGTTATATTACCTATCCTATTGCCTGTTTGCACACACCTTTGTTTCATGCACAAGCCGGGGGTCTTCACAGAAATAGTTATGTATACTCAAAACTACCTAAAGTTTGTCTAAGTTACATAACTCTGTCAAGAAACCATATTCTTTTTACCAGAATGGAGGATGGGGCTAGTTCAAATAAGAAGGCTAAATATCACGAGAAGGGAATGTTAAAGGAAGGTTCATATGTGAATCCATTGAAAAAATAAGAAAAAAATCTATTTGAAGATGCATTAGTGAACGAACATTACAATCTTACAGATTATTCATATGGGTTCACATATGCATCTTCAAATTGATGTTTTTAAAGATTCACTTATGAACCTTCCCTTCTTACCTTCTCAAGATATTTTGCCTTCTTATTTGAACCTCCCCTAGAGGATGAGCTCTGTGTGCATGAGTTAAAATCATGAGATATGGCACCAGTAGCTTTGAAAGATTAGTTTCTTTGTTGATTCTTAAAATGAAATCAATGGATTGCTGAAACATCAGACCCAAAATCTTCTCATTTCCAGGCTTAAAAATTCTACTTTCATGGGAAAATCATTAACTGCCCTCTCTCACGTTATAAAGCAGTCATTGTGCTGCAGTGCCACAATGTTATGTTTGTGGCGGGATCTTGTCTCATATACGTCATCATAAGCATAATTGGTATTCCTTGCAGGAACTTTTATTTTGTTGGTAACTGTGGGTGTTTGGGCCAGTTTGCACGTAGCGTGACTAATCCCATGGGCCTTGAACATAACAGCCAGAAAAATCCCCACTGGGGTCGAGGATACTCAAGGTCTGGCCTTTATTTGCCAGTTAAGCCAGCTTGCAATTCCCAATTGGTTGTGGAATGCCCTTGGTAAAAAGCCAGCTTCGTGTGAGCACTGAAAGAAAATATGGAAACTCTTCCTAACGAAGACCTTGAATGCTTCATCAAGCTATAAATCGAGCGAGAATTATGGAGAACAACTTTATAGAAGACCAAAAACTGAGTGAAATCTGAACAATTTCGAGATAAGATTTCTTTTGTCAGCCTTCTCTTTTCTTCGTTTTTGTGCATATCATTAGCTATAACCTTTGCATATCTCAATATAAAATTTAACCTGAATCCATATCTTTTTGAAGTATAAATGATTTATATACGGCAAACATTCACGTACATTTCTCATTTTTAGTGAGGTTTGAACTCTTGACCTTCTGGGACGTTGTGCTCTACCGATAATGAGGATACTGCAGCAGCAATGACCCTTTAACATCTGAACCCATCTTTGTGATGGGTAAACAATTTGTTATTCATCTACCGATCTTATTTCTTTTATAATATTCTTTGAAAATATATCATCACATATAATCTTCAAATAATTGGTTGTTTGGTTGGTTTTCCATTAAATCCTGTATGGTAAAGCTGAGTGAGTGGATTAATCTCTCTTTATAGATATGGAGGGTTTTTGTTTATGATGATTTTTTTATAGATGGAATGAGCGTGTTCTTAAATTGGGAGGGGCAGGTTTGGAAAAAAATTGGCTTTCTTCATAAAGCTCCTCCTTAGAACCTTACCAAATAAGTCACTTTCTATATCATTAAGCCACTACCAAACAGTCTGACCGAATAAGTTGTGAGTTCCATTAAGTTGTTAATGAACATGCCCTAACTCGATATATGTTGGCTCTTTCTTCCTTCCTGCATCTGAATCCTTTTTAGTTATGGATAGCATTCACTATGATACTATTTAGCAATCAACATGTTGTTTATATGCCGACATTGTTTTTTTATAGGATTATTTGAAAAGGTCAGTCAATTACACATTAACCCAATTTAAACTTACAAATATATACTTCTATGTAGTTGTCACCATCAATTTGACTGCAAGATAAGACTAGTAACAAAGCAAGACTCAACCACGAGCTATTTGCTTCCCAGTTGTTTCTTATTTCTTGTTGCTCTTTTTCAACCTTTTAATTCTTGAATAAATTAGGACATGGTTGATGGGTACTAAATAGCTATGAAATCTAAGAGCATTTCCAACAACTATGCTAAAATAGAAATCTAGGAATTTTTTTCCTCCAACAGATATGCTAAAATAATGGTCGAACTGGTGGACATTCCACAGCCCTGGTTTCGGACTGGTTCATGTATGCTAAGATAGAGAAAAGAAAGAGAGAAGATGGAAATCTCCAAACTTCGGAAAAATCTCTAAAACTGAGAGAGAAATAATATTTTAATTCTTTTCCAACAATAAGAGGCATTGAAATTAAATGTATAGGAAAGAGAAATAATATTTTACTAAATGTGTTGAATATTTTAATAATATACTTGATGCTAGAATTGCTAAAATAGAGTAGTTGTTGGAGTTGGATGTAACTTTTTTTAGAGATTTTGACTTTTGATGCTCTATTTAAAAAAAAATTATAGCATAACTGTTATAGATGTTCTAAGGGGCCATTTACTAACACAAATCAGGTAAGTGCTAACTGAGTAAGAGTGTGGTTTTGACAAGAGGTTCGATCTGAATAAACACCGACTGAAAATAGTTGGTTACCAAGTGTCTTGGTAAGTATCAACTAAAGCACTAGCTGAGTCACAAAACAACCCCTTCCTTATTGGCTAAGCATCTCGATACGCATACTTCTCGATCAGAGTGTGTTGGTAAACAACATTCTTCTTACCGGGAAGCACCTCTTACACGGTAAGAGACGGTCTAGGCGGTTAGCAAGCAGTAAACAGCTCCTATATCTAGGATAACATTAAAGCAGACAATCTCTGGACCAAGAAAAATGATCCCAAATGGTTAAATAACTAGAAATGTTCCATAACCTTTTTCTGGGCTCTTCCATCAGAGAAACTAAATCTTTAACATAAATCAGAAACTAGGGGTCGTTTATCAAATGCTTACCAGGTAAGCACTTACTCGGTCACCTACCTTACGAGGTGAGCGTAGCAAGGACCGAGAATCTTACCCAGTAAGAGGCAAGACAAGGATTGAGAGTCTTATCCGGTAAGCGTTTACGCGGGTGGTAGAAGCTTACCAACAATTTTAACGGTCGGGAATATTACCCAGTATGCAATTGTTAAACAACCCCTAAAATGAGTATGTAATATGTGTTTAGCTTGTGATATCAAGATCTAATGAATCTTACAGAAATCTATAAAAAGGTAGAAGCATTTATGGATCTAGTGAGAGACAAAACATACATATGAAAATAGATGATCAGAATTTCTAGAAAATGGATCAACTTAAGAGCATAAGGTAGATCTAAAATCCCAAATCAAAATGCATAATTACAAATCTGGGCATGACCCCATCTCCAAAAAGGAAACCCATGATCTTGAAGAAGGAAGATGAGGAGGGTAAAATGGTAATTTTCTTTTCATGATGATCTATCCATCTCATGATGAACCTCAGGGTTCTCCATGATACTTTCTAAAGAAGGTTTCCATCCTGCAACAACATTTTTCCCAGCCATTCTACCCTTTTCTATCTCCCCCAAAACATCTTCCAGTCTTTGCCCTTCTTTGTTCTTCAACTGCAATAACAGCCACTCTAGCTCATCTTTTGTTAATACCAATTTTACCCTCATTCTACCACTTTCAGTTCCATAACTACCCTCTGGTTTCCTCCAAGATTCTTGAAGTTTCTGTGGCTTTTCTTCATCTGTTTGCTGCTTCTGTATGCATGTTTCCATATAATTCCCCATTTTCAGAATCAAGAAAATGGTTTCTGAAATGAAACAAAACCCTTCTTCTCTTATTCTGTTTTTCTTTTCTTTTCTGGTTTTCAATTTATGAAGGGATTTGGAGAGAAAAATGAGGAGTTGTTAGAGAGTGTCAACTAATGCATGTGAGGGGTGGGGAACATATGCAGGTGAGGTGACAAATTTATTATCTTTTTGAATAGACCAATTAATGGCTCATTAAAGCAAGGTTATTATGTCATCTTCTTCCTAAAAAATTTCAACATATGCATTGAGGTTTTTTGGATATTTTTTCCTTGAAATTATTCCCATTTCAATTTTTTCGATCTGGTATGACCGAAAAATCGGATTTTTTTTTTGGTTAATTGTGGGTGTTTGTGGCAGTTTGTGAACATCTCGACTGATGTTATGGGACTCTGAAGATAACAGTCGGGAAAATCTAATTGACCATGAGGAGACGCAAACTGAGCGTCTATTAAAAGGAGACTTTATTTGTGTAGTTGAGTTGACCTTCTAAGTTGCAACGATATCGATTTTTGTGGTAAATGTGAAATTAACTATTTGGAATATTAATGATATCGAGGGGGTTCAAGAACAATAATCAAATAAAAGAATACGAAAAAGGCCAAATCACGTGTAAAATCATATGTGATTTTACACTAACGTTTGATGCAATAGTGTGCGGGCAACGTGACTTGTGAGCTCAAGTAGCGACCAAATTCGCATGGATCACATGTGATTAGACTGTTTCTCTTATTCTCTTATTTGGTTATTGTTCTCATATGAAGTGACTCTAATAATATTAATTAGGTATTGATCTTTCAGGGTTTGTTTGGTTTGAACATAATGTTCTTCAGATTTAGATTTCGTGGAAAGATTTGGAATCTTTGACATGTTGGTTTGTAAGATTTAGAATGGAACCAAATGGCTTTTGGCCTAACAGTATGTGAGTCTTTCGCCTCTTAGGAAGTCAATGGTTCAAACCTCACCAAAAGTGAGGAGGGTGTGTGAGCATATTTGTTGCATTTGCCGTATATAAATATTATATACTTCAAAAAGAAAAGATTTAGAATGGAATTGAATTCCATTATTTATAAATAATAAAATTAATAAATCTTTTTAAAATTACCTTTTTATTAATTGTTTATTTCAAAACAAGTATTTTTAATATAATTTAATACATTATAACAAACAAATCATATGAAATCCAACGAAATACCAATACCCCTTTACTAGGTTATCTCACTTCTTCCTTGAAGGTCCCACGGACTGTTCGAATCCTTAGCCTGTCCTTGATTAGCTTCCTATCACCTGTCTCTCCTTCTGGAAAGTCGCTATTCTTTTCTATCTGCTGTCATTTCTAAATCCTATGTTTGTGAGATTTCAATTACAGATTTTCTTTTAAACCAGATATAGGATTGGAATGGAATCCAATTCTAAATCCTGCAAATCAAACGGACCCTAAGATTAACTAATTTACTCAAAACTTAAATGACTAAGGTGACGTTTGTTTTTTCAGATGTGTTGAATTATGAAGTCTAATTTTACTTCTGATTTATAAGAGATGGTCCTGAAGTCTGAAATCTGGATCAGTAAGGTTGTTTGTCTCCATGTCTGAAATCTGAAATCTGAATTGGTCAAAGTAGTGCAAAAATATAAAAGATAAATAGTTTTTTTTTTATAAAGTATAAAAGATGAATAGTTTTTGCTAACAAATCTTTTCCGGCCCCAAAATATGAACCATGCGATAGAGCGCGGATTAGGATTAAGACTTATTAAGGGATACATTTACCACTTAAAATTTCAGAGGACATTTAGAGCTTTTAAGCTCTTAATACCCAACCGTCTGAACGAATCAGACTTAAGAGGTATTAAGAGGTAATTTTGAAAAAAACAAACAGGTCCTAACTGATCATCGAATTTTGATTCTTGTAATCACAATAAATGAACGCTTAAACATTTTCAAATGATAAATTAACTTGAATAACTAGAAAACCACATTCGTGGTGTAACATTTTTGGTCATCCATTTGTGGCAATTCATTTGACATATCGGCATAAGATTTAAACTCAGTACTTTTAGGTTTATGTCGTAAACGTTTACCACTTAAAGTCTGATATATTATTATAGCTTTATTTGGTCAAAAAATAATTTAAATTTGACATCTAAATGTGAGTAATTCAGAAATCGAATATTCGAAACTATTTATTGATGTATATGCAGTAATAACCATTTAAAAAATATAGAGTTAAATGTAAATTTGGTTCATGTGTTTTGACGAAATTAACAGATGAGGTCATTGAAAAGAATTTTTTTAACGGATAGCGGCTCTCTGGTTTCATTTTTGCAACAAATTGGGTCCTTTTTGCTAACAGTCGTTATATTTGATCTCATGTGAAGGGTATTTTGGTCTTTTTACCCTTTATTTATTTATTTTTTTCTTTTTATTATCATCTTTTTCATTTGAAGAGGAAAAACGAAATCAAAACTCATAGAACAAAAAACCTAGAGCTAAACCATCTCCATCTCCCTCTCGATCTCCCAAATTGGTGTTAAAAATGACTAATCAAAAACCATAGAAGTAGAGCCAAAACCTAAAAAGCAAATTGTATGAAAAAGTAACGTACTTTAACTTGATTCTTACTTTGGGTAACGTACTTTCAAAACTTTCATTTTGGTACCTAAGATGTAAAGTTCCAAACATTTAAGTACCCTGGTAACCAGTTGAAGCATTAACCGGTTACCATGTTGATGTAGCGAGTGACGAGATGAAATTAAGTTGAACATCAAATAATACCAAGTCGGATACAATATCACCCGTCACATCAACATGGTCATCGGTTAATGATTCAACCGGTTACCTGTGTACTTAAATGTTTAAAACTTCACATCTTATGTACCAAAATGGAAGTCTCGAAAGCATGTTACCCAAACACAAGAATCAAGTTAAAGTACACTATTTTTTCATACAATTTGCCCAAACGAAAAATAAAAAAGACAAAAATACCCCTTATCTATTGATTTCAACAAACGAAAGGGACCAAATTTACATCGAACTCCTAAAATACATTATTTTAGCATGATTTGCTATATACATAATCTTTTGGTGTGCATCCTTGTGACATGAGAAACAAATTGTGTACATGTGGAACTTGTTGCTCGTGATCTTGACTTTTTTTTCTCACTTTCTTTTTTAAAACAAAATTATGGAATTAAATATGAAAATGGAAATTATTGCCTTTTTTTTGTTTAGTAATTGATAGGTGACAAAAAATTCTATAGTCTCCAATAATGGAGTTGAATCAACATGATTTTATTGCTTGATTTGTTTTATCTGTTTTTATTTTCTAACAGATTTTTTAAAATAAAGATTCTGGTTAAATGTTTACTACTACAGATTCTTTTTTTTATTAACTTGGATATCTGATCGGCTATGTGAGTCAACTAATCCTAGGGAGATCACATGCTTTGCGGGTAGTTTAGAGTCACCGTATTTGAACATTCATGGTCACAAATGGATTTTTATTCCTTGTTGGATTTGAAACTAGGACCTTCAGACATTTTTGACCATTGAAATCAAACTCAAACCAATCAGACACCATTCTTCTGGTTTACAACAGATTCTTTAAGATTGTGTTTGGAAAACATAAACTAGATTATTTTTTGCGTTTATTACGGAAATCCCGTTTGGATGGGTAAAAATATAACTTGCGGTTTGATAAACTCTGAGAGGTTTTTATCACTTTCTTCCAATTATACCCTTGAGTAATATTATTTTTTATTAATAAATATTAATTAGTATTAATTTAAAATTATTAATTAATTTTAATTGTAGATTATTTTATCAATATTCGTTATTAGTTATTTAGAATTATTATTAAATTTATCA